ACACAGGAGTAAATGCCACCCAAGGGGACACAGAGGTGGGTGGCACTGTGGAGGCATCGAGGGTGGGTGCCACTTGTGGGGACACCCTGGGGGCTCAGTGCCACCCATGGCCATGGTGACACCCAGGGACACGAACACCAGCGTGGGCACACCTGGGTGTCCCCTGACCCTGTGTCCCCCATGTCCCTGTGTCCCCCCTGACCCTCCCGTGTCCCTGCAGTGGCCTGGGCGCCTACGACACCTCGGTGAGCATGGACGCCAACGGCACCATCCTGGGTGAGTGAGAGTGGCACGGGCACAGGGGCTGGGGGTGACCACTGGGGTGACCACTGAACACCAGGGGTGAGCACTGACCACCAGGGAGACCACTGACCACTGGGGAGACTGCTGACCACAAAGGTGACCACTGACCACTGGGGCGACCACTGAACACCAGGGGTGACCATTGACCCTTGGCAGTGACCACTGGCCACTGGGGTGACCACTGATCCTTGGCAGTGACCACTGACCACCAAGGTGACCATTGACCACCAGGGTGACCACTGACCACTGGGGTGACCATTGACCCTTGGCAGTGACCACTGCCCCCATGGTGCCCACTGCCCATGGTGCCCACTGCCCCTGGAGTGCCCACTGCCCCTGGAGTCCCCATTGTCCCCATGGTGCCACTGCCCCTGGAGTGCCCACTGCCCCTGGAGTCCCCATTGTCCCCATGGTGCCACTGTCCCCACGGTGCCCCCGCCCCGCGCTGACGCTGCCGTGCCCGCAGCCACCCGTTTCATGGCGTACCAGCGCCCGCTGCGCACGTCCCAGGAGTACACGGGTGCCCTGCGTGCCGCCCGCGCCCTGGCAGAGCACATCACGGGCATCCTGCGCGCCGTGCCCGGCACCGACCCCGCCTTCCGCGTCTTCCCCTACACGTGAGTGGCACTGCCAGCCTGGGGGGGGGGGGGGGGGGGCAGGTAGCGGTGCCCAGGTCGGGGTGCCCATGCCAGGGTGCAGGGAGTGCCCCAGTGCCCTTGTTGGGTGCCCACACTGGGATACTCAGTGCCCATTTTGGGTTGCCCCAGTGCCCATATCAGGATACCCAGTGCTCATTTTGGGGTCCCAGTGCCCATTTTGGGGTCCTAATGCCCGTTTTGGGGTGCCCAGTGCCCATATCGCAATACCCAGTGCCCATTTTGGGGGTGTCCAGTGCCCATATCACAATACCCAGTGCCCATTTTGGGATACCTGGTGCCCATTTTGAGGCGCCCAGTGCCCATTTTGAGGCGCCCAGTGCCCATATCAGGGTGCCCAGTGCCCATTTTGGTGTCCCAATGCCCATATCACGATACCCAGAGCCCGTTTTGGGGTGCCCAGTGCCCATATCGCAATACCCAGTGCCCATTTTGGGGTCCCAGTGCACATATCAGGGTCCCTAATGCCCATATCAGGATACCCAGAGCCCGTTTTGGGGTGCCCAGTGCCCATTTTGGGGTGCCCAGTGCCCATTTTGGTGTTCCGATGCCCATATCACCATACCCAGCGCCCGTTTTGAGGTCCCAGTGCCCATTTTGGCGTGCCTAGTGCCCATTTTGGTGTCCCAATGCCCATATCACGATACCCAGCGCCCATTTTGGGGTCCCAGTGCCCATTTTGCGGTGCCCGGTGCCCGTTTTGGGGTGCCCGGTGCCCCTGCCCGGCTGCCCGGTGCCACGGCCGGTGCCAGCGCGGTGCCACCCCGCAGGGTGACGTACGTGTACTACGAGCAGTACCTGACGGTGGTGCTGGAGGGGCTGCTGACGCTGGCACTGTGCCTGGTGCCCACCTTCACCGTGTCCTTCCTGCTGCTGGGCATGGACGCGCGCTCCAGCCTGGCCACGCTGCTGACCATCGCCATGGCCCTGCTGGGCACCGTGGGCTGCATGGCGCTCTGGGCCGTGCCCTACAACGCCGTGGCACTCATCAACCTGGTGGCGGTGCGGGCACAGGGGGTGGCACGGGGACAGTGAGGATACAGGGCACCGAGGGTGGCACGGGGACGTGGGGAACAGGGCACGTGGGGTGGCACAGGGATATGGGGCACGGGGGACAGCGGGGACACGGGGCACATGGGATGGCACAGGAACATGGGGCACAGGGGACAACAGGGACACGGGGCACAGGGCATAGGGGGTGGCACGGAGGACAGTGGGACACGGGGGGTGGCATGGGGGACAGCAGGGACATGGGCCACACGGGCTGGCAGAGGGGCATGGAGCACATTGGGTGGCACAGGGACATGGGGACATGGGGCGCGTTGGGTGGCACAGGGACACGGGGGATACGGGGTGGCAGCGGGCATGTGAGCTGGGACACAGGGTGGCTTTGTGGGCACAGGAGGTGGCAGCAGGAGCTGGGACATACAGGGTGACATAGGGGGTGGCTCTGGGGACACTGGGGTGGCTCTGAGGGCACGGGGGTGGCTCTGAGGGCACAGGGGTGGCTCTGGTGGCACAGGCGGTGCCCAAGGTGCCAGCCCGGTGTCCCCACAGGCCGTGGGCATCATGGTGGAGTTCGTGTCCCACATCACCTGCGCCTTCACCCGCAGCCGCCAGCCCACGCGGGTGGCACGAGCCGCAGAGGCCACTGTCACCATGGGCAGCAAGGTGGGCACGGGGACACTGCGGGACACCAGACCCTGCCAGGGTGGGGGTGGCACCGAGGGACCCCGAACTGTCCTGGGGGTGGCATCGTGGGACCCCAAACCCATCTGGAGCTGGGGGGTGACACTGGGGGACCTCCTGGGGCTGGGGGTGGCATCGTGGGACCCCAGACCCTCCTGGGCCAGGAGGTGACACCAAGGGACCTTCTGGGGCTGGGGTGACACCGCGAGACCCCAAACCCTCCCGTGGGTGGGAGGTGACACTGGGGGACCTCCTGGGCTGGGGGTGGCACCGTGGGACCCCAAACCCTCCTGGGCCCGGAGGTGACACCGTGGGACCTTTTGGGACCATGAGGTGGCACCATGGGACCCCAAACTGTCCTGGAGCTGGGGATGGCACTGTGGGACCCCAAACCCTCCCGGGCCTGGAGGTGACACCGTGGGACCCCCTGGTCCGGGGGTGGCCCCGCGGGCCGCTGTCCCTGCCTGGGGCGGTGTCACCGAGCGTGGCCGCTGTCCCCGCTTGGGGCGGTGTCACCGAGCGTGGCCGCTGTCCCTGCCCGGGCGGTGTCACCGAGCGTGGCCGCTGTCCCCGCCTGGGGCGGTGTCACCGAGCGTGGCCGCTGTCCCTGCCCGGGCGGTGTCACCGAGCGTGGCCGCTGTCCCCGCCTGGGCGGTGTCACCGAGCGCGGCCGCTGTCGCTGCTGTCCCCGCAGGTGGTGGCAGGGGTGGCCATGACCAACCTGCCGGGCGTGGTGGTGCTGGCGTTCGCCAAGGCCCGCCTGGTGCAGATCTTCTTCTTCCGCCTCAACCTCATCGTCACCCTGCTGGGGCTGGCACACGGCCTGGCGTTCCTGCCCGTGCTGCTCAGCTACATCGGTACGGACACCGCGGGGACGGGGACACCGGGACACCGGGACAGTGTCATCCCCCCGGGGACAGGGACAGGAACACCCCTGGGGAAAAGGACAGGGGGACAGGGACACTGGGACAGTGTCATCCTCCTGGGGACAGGGACACCATGTCTGTCACCTTGGGGATGGAGATAGGCACAGTGACACCATGTCACCTCCAAGGACAGGGACAGGGACACCAGGCCTGTGTCACCTCGGGGATGGGGACAGGGACACCAGCATCGTGTCACCTCCCCGGGGACAGTGACAGTGACAGCATTGTCCCCTCAGCCTGGGGACAGTGACAGTGACACTGGGCCCATTGTCCCCGCAGGGCCCGCGCCGCAGGTGCCAGCAGGAGAGGCCACACCAGGGGACACCGTGCAGGGGACACGGCTGGGCCTGAGCAACCCCGGCTTCAAGGACACGGACACGGACAAGGACAAGGACAAGGACAAGGACAAGGACAAGGACAAGGACAAGGGCTCCGGGAAGGGCTGAGCCCCCCCGCCCCCCCCCCACCCCTCCCCCCCCCCCCCGTGCCCCTCCCCCCTTTCTATTTAAACTGGTTTTGTCACATCCGGCACTGGTTGGACTGGGATGGATGGGGCGAAGGTGCTGCACAATGTCCCAGGGGTGGGGACACTGTGGGGACACCATGTGGGACACGGGGACACTGTGGGGACACCATGTGGGACACAGGGACACTGCGGGAACATGGGGACAGCATGTGGGGCACAGGGACATTGTTGGGCACAGGGACACTGTGGGGACAGTGAGGATACCCCATTTCATTCCTTTAGGAACATTTATAGGTTTTTTTATTCCCGGCCCTAGAGGAGCTTGTAGGGCACACCGAGGACATTCCAGATCATTCCTTTAGGGCCGTTAAAAGGTTTTTTAGGACCATTTACAGGTTTATCCCTAGAGGAGCTTGTAGGGCCCATTGAGGACAACCCAGATCATTCCTTTAGGAACATTTATGGGTTTATTCCCTAGAGAAGCTTGTAGGGCACACCGAGGACATTCCAGATCATTCCTTTAGGGCCGTTTATAGGTTTTTTAGGACCATTTACAGGTTTATCCCTAAAGGAACTTGTAGGGCACACCGAGGACATTCCAGATCATTCCTTTAAGGCCGTTTATAGGTTTATTCCCTAGAGGAACTTGTAGGGCACACCGAGGACATTCCAGATCATTCCTTTAGGGCCGTTTATGGTTTTTTTAGGACCATTTACAGGTTTATCCCTAGAGGAACTTGTAGGGCACACCGAGGACATTCCAGATCATTCCTTTGGGGCCGTTTATGGGTTTTTTAGGACCATTTACAGGTTTATCCCTAGAGGAACTTGTAGGGCCCATTGAGGACAACCCAGATCATTCCTTTAGGAACATTTATGGGTTTATTCCCTGGAGGATCTTGTAGGGCACACCGAGGACATTCCAGATCATCCCTTTAGGAACATTTATGGGTTTATTCCCTAGAGGAACTTGTAGGGCAGGCGGGCGGGCAGGGTCTGCAGCTCCAGGCGCACGGGGCACTTGTAGAAGTGGCCGAGCAGGGTCTCGGTGTAGCCCTGCAGGAAGTAGAGCTTGTGGGGCGGCAGTGCCCGCGCCAGCAGGGCACAGAGCACCAGGAGGTTCCCGCGGCGCTTCAGCACCGGCTCGTCCAGGAGCAAACCCGGGAAGGTCCCGGCCAGGAACCGCCGCAGGAACGCGTCCTCCAGGGCCCGCTGGGCCGCCCCTGCCTCGCCACACAGGTTCCCTGGGGACACAGGGGACACAGGGGACATTGGGGACACACAGGTGGCATTGGGTCCCACCCCGCTGGGCCGCCCCTGCCTCGCCACACAGGTTCCTTGGGGACACAGGGGACACAGGGGACATTGGTGACACTGAGGGACCCCCAGCTGCACCGCCCCTGCCTCGCCACACAGGTTCCCTGGGGACACAGGGGACATTGGTGGCACACAGGTGGCACTGGGTCACCCCACACTGTGCAGCGCCCACCTCGCCACACAGGTTCCCTGGGGACACAGGGGACATTGGTGGCACACGGGTGGCACTGGGTCACCCCTGCCTGTGCTGCGCCTGCCTCGCCACACAGGTTCCCTGAGGGGACAGGGTGCTGGTGGCACTGGTGGCACTGGGTGCTCAGCCCAGCCGTGGTCCTGGCACCACAGGAGTTGTGTGTTCTGTCCCCAGGATGCCCATGGGTACCACGTGTCACTGTCCCCACCATGCCCACATGTCCCCTGTGTCCCATGCCCAGGATGTCCACGTCACTGTCCCCACCATGCCCACATGTCCCTGTGTCCCATGCCCAGGATGTCCACGTCACTGTCCCCACCATGCCCACATGTCCCTGTGTCCCCTCACGTGCCCCACACTGCCCTGTCCCCACCGTGCCCCCGTGTCCTCACGGTGCCCCACGGGCCATCCCCCTGTCCCCTCCTGCCCCCATCCCCCTTGTCACCCATGTCCCTCCCTGTCCCCCAGCCCTGTCCCCGTGTCACGCACCGGTGTGCAGGGACAGCCAGCCCTTGCGGTGCCCGATGTGGTGCGGCGCGTGCGCCTGCTCGTACGTCACCATCTTGTCCCCTCTGCCCGCGCGCACCCGCGCCGCCCGCGTCTGTGGGGACAGCGGCGTCAGGGACACGGGGACACTGGGGACATTGGGGACACTGGGACAGCAGCATCAGGGACACGGGAACATTGGGGACAGTGGGGACAGGGGACATTGGGGACACTGGGACAGCAGGGTCAGGGGACAGGGGGACAGCAGCGTCAGGGGACATGGGACAATAGGGGACATGGGGTCAGGGGACACAGGGACAGGGCGACAGGGAGAGGGGACAGTGAGGACAGGAGACAGCAGGGACAAGGGACAGGGGGACATTGGGGACAGCGAGAACAGCGAGGATATGGGAACACGGGGACAGCAGGGACAGGGGGACAGCAGGGACATGGGACAGTGGGGTCAGGGGACATGGGAACAGCAGGGACAAGGGACAGGGGGACACGGCAGCGGGGTCCCCAAGGACTCACCTTGAGGCACACGGGGCTGGTGTGGAGCTGCCGGGTGGCGCTGGGGACATGGAGGGCACGGAAAAGGACCTGCACAGGGGACAGGGCTGGGGACAGCTGGCAGGGGACATCGCGGTCCCCTGTCCCCAACACAGCCAGCGTGTCCCCAGGAGCCGCACGGAGCAGCCCCGGTGTCCCCGCAGTGGGGACAGCGCTGCTGTGACCCCACAGCCGGTGACGCTGTCCCCGGTGTCACCGCAGCCCTCGGCCCTCTCACCCAGTGCCCCCCCACCCTCAGTGTCCCCATGCCCAGTGTCCTTTGTCACCCCCATTCCCGCTGTCCCTTGTCACCCCCATGCCAGGTGCTCCCCAGGCTCAGTGTGCCGCATCCCCAGTGTCCCCAAACCCGGTGTCCCTTGTCACCCTCACCCTCGCTGTCCCCCAAACCCGGTGTTTTTCCCCCATTCCCGGTATTTTCCCTAATTTCCGTATTTTCCCTAATTTCCGTATTTTCCCTAATTTCGGTGTTTTTCCCCCCCCATTCCCGCTCTCCCCTCACCCGCAGGGCCCGCGCGGCCGCCGCCATCTTGGCTGAGGGAGCGGCGGCAGCGGCCCCTGGCGGAGGGAGGAGAGCGAGGGGGGAACTGGGATGGACTGGGGGGAACTGGGATGGACTGGGGGGAACTGGGATGAACTGGGATGGACTGGGGGAAACTGGGGGCACTGGGAGAACTGGGGGGTACTGGGGGATACTGGGGGGACTGGGAACACTGGGAGTACTGCAAGCACTGGGACTACCGGGGGTCCCGGGGACTCCTGAAGGCAACTGGGCACCTCCTGAGTGCTTACTGGGAGCAACTGGGAGCTCCTTTTGGGGGTCTCTCAGCTCCCTTCCCCCTTATCCCCCCATGTTGGGGGTCTCCCACCTTTCCCTCCTCCCATTCTGGGGGTCTCACAGGTGTCTCCCCCCAGTTTTGGGGTCCCCCAGCTCCCTCTTTGCCCCTCATCCCGGTGCCCCACACACACACACACACTCAGCCCCCCATGGGGTGACGCTGCTTTATTCTGGGGGTGCCCCCCGCACTCCGAGCCCCCCATCCGTTCTCGGGGGGCTCAGGGGAAGGCGATGGTGCCCAGGGGGGGCTCGGGGGGGGTCCCGCGGCCGGGGGGCTGCCGGGGCCCCCCGTGGTGCCCGTACTGGAACTTGAGGCGCAGCTCGCCCAGGCGGGAGCGGGGCAGGATGTCGGGGATCCACTCGATGGTGAAGGGCGTGGGCTCCTTCTGCGTGGGGGACGTGTGGCCTGGGGGGGCACGGCGGCGTGGCTGCCTCGGGGAGCCCCTCCATGCACCCCCAACCCCATGGAACCACCCCCTTTTCCTGTCCCTGAACCCCCAAACCCATGGAACCCCCCCCCCTTTTCCTGTCCCTGAACCCCCAACCCCATGGAAACCCCCCCCCTTTTCCTGTCCCTTGAAACCCCCAAACCCTATGGACCCCCTGATGCCCCCTCCCTGAACCCCCCAACAATATTAACCCCCCCTGCTGCCCCTTCCTGAACCCCCAACCCCATAGGATCCCCCTTTTTCCAGTCCCTTGAAACCCCCAACCCCACAGAACCCCCCCTCCCCTTTTTCCCCTTCCTTGAACCCCCCAACCCCATGGAACCCCCCCTGCTGCCCCTCCCTGAACCCCCAACCCCCTATTAATCCCCCCCTTTTCCTGTCCTTGAACCCCCCAACCCCATGGAACCCCCCCTGCTGCCCTTCCCTTGAAGCCCCCCCCCACCCCTATGGAGAGTTGGGACCTCCTGGGGCTGTTTTGGGGTCCCACCGTGTCCCCTCCCAGCTGGGTTTTGGGGTCCCACCCTGCCCTTCCTGGGCGCTGTTTTGGGATCATACTCTGCCCTTGGCGGGGCTGTTTTGGGGTCCCACCCTGCCCTTTCTGGGCGCTGTTTTGGGGTCCCACCGTGTCCCCTCCCAGCTGGGTTTTGGGGTCTCACCCTGCCCTTTCTGGGCGCTGTTTTGGGGTCCCACCCTGCCCTTTCTGGGGTTATTTTGGGGTCCCACTTTGCCCTTCCCGGGGGTTATTTTGGGGTCCCACCCTGCCCTTTCTGGGGGCTATTTTGGGGTCCCACCCTGCCCTTCTCGGGGGCTATTTTGGGGTCCCACCTTGCCCTTCCTGGGGGCTATTTTGAGGTCCCACCCTGCCCTTCCTGGGGCTATTTTGGGGTCCCACCCTGCCGTTCCTGGGGGCTATCTTGGGGTCCCACCCTGCCCTCCGCGCGGCTGTTTTGGGGTCCCCCCGAGCCTCACCGACTTTGAGGAAGGTCTGCAGCTCCAGGGGCCGCAGCGGGGGCTGTCTCTCGTGGGGGCCCAGCCCCTCGGGCAGGCTCTCCACCTCCACGCGGGGGCTGCGGAAGGGCTCGTAGGAGCCGTCGCGGTTCTGCACGAAGCTCCGGGTGATCTCCAGCGGCACCTGCGGGCCGGGCAGCGCTCAGGGCCGGCCCCGCGGGGCTGGGGGGGTCCGGGGGGGTGTCCCGGCCTTACCTCGGGCGTGTCGAAGATCTGCTTGACCTGCAGGACGTTGGTGATGTGCCAGGTGTACTTGGAGAAGGTGCCCAGGGGCAGCGCGTCCCTGCGCACGAAGGCTGCGGGGAGGGGTCGGGGCGGGCTCGGGGGCTGCGGCCCCTCTCATCTTCCCCCTTCTTTTACTGCCCCTCTTGGTTTTCTATCAGCCCTCTTTGGTTTTTCCTCTGCTTCCCCACTTTTTTCCTTCTTTTCCCTTCCCTTTTCCGCCTCGTTCCCCCCCATTTTTGCTTCTTTTCCCTCCCTTTTTTGCCTCTTTCCCCCCTTTGTTTTTCCCGCCATTTTTGCTTCTTTTCCCTCCCTTTTTTGCCTCTTTCCCCCTTTGGTTTTCCCCTCATTCCTCCCTTTATTTTCTCCCCTTCCTCCCAATTTTTTATTCCTCTTTTCCGTCCTTCCCCTTCTTTTTTATTCCTCTTTCCCCCCCTTGAATTTTCCCACCCTTTGTCCCCCCGTTATTTTTCCCCTCCTTTATTTTTCCATCCCCCTTTATTTTTCTACCCCTTCCTCCTTTATTTTCTCCCCCTTTATTTGTGCACCTCCATTTCCCCCCTTTATTCCCCCCCCTTTATTTTTCCATTCCCATTTCCCCCCTTTATTTTTCCACCTCTTTTTTTCCCCCTTTATTTTTCCCCTTTTTTTCCCCCCTTTATTTTTCCCAGTTATTTTTCCATCCCCCTTTCCCCCCTTATTTGCCCCCTTTTTCCCCTTTATTCCCCCCTTTTTTCCCCTTTATTTCCCCCCCATTTTCCCCCCTTTATTCCCTCCCTACCCCCCCGCTTTTCCCCTTTATTTTTCCACCCCTTTTTTCCCCCTCCCTTTTGCTTTTCCCCCCTTTTTTTCTCCTTTATTTTTCCCCCTCTCTATTTCCCCCCTTTATTTTTACCTCCCTCTTTCCCCCTTTATTTCCCCCCCCATTTATTCCCCTTTATTTCCCCCCCCCTTTTTTTGGGGAGGTGTTTCCCCTTTTTTTGGAGGGTGTTTCCCTTTTTTTGGAGGGCTGTTTCCCCTTTTTTTGGGGAGTGTTTCCCCATTTTTGGGGGGTGTTTCCCCTTTTTTTGGGGGGGTGTTTCCCCCTTTTTTGGGGGGGGGTGTTTCCCCTTTTTTTGTGGGGCTGTTTCCCCATTTTTGGGGGCTGTTTCCCCTTTTTTTGGGGGGCTGTTTCCCCTTTTTTTGGGAGGTGTTTCCACTTTTTTGGGGGGGTGTTTCCCCTTTTTTTGGGGAGGTGTTTCCCCCATTTTTTGGGGGGTGTTTCCCCTTTTTTGGGGGGTGTTTCCCCATTTTTTGGGGGGTGTTTCCCCTTTTTTTGGGGGGTGTTTCCCCATTTTTTAGGGTGTTTTCCCCTTTTTCCTCACCCGTGGTGGAGTTGGGCAGCCTCTTCTTGCCGCTGCCGCTGGAGATTCGCTGCTGGAGAGCCTCGAAGAAGGACTGGGGGATGTGGAAAACCAGCGGCTCTGGGTGGCCTGTGGGGGGACAGCGGGCTCAGGGAGGGGCTGGGGGTCCCAAATTGTCACCCCAAAGTGTCCCTGTGCCTCAGGGGCTCAGCACTGGGGGAATTCCCAAGGAAATGTTTGGGATTTGGAGGCTGTCACTGTTTTGGGGTCACTGGGAGGAGAATGGAGGTCCCAAATTGTCTCCCCAAAGTGTCCCCAAATTCTTGGGAATTCCCAAGGAAATGTTTGGGATTTGGAGGCTGTCGCTGTTTTGGGGTGACTGAGAGGAGAATGAGGGTCCCAAACTGTCACCCCAAAGTGTCCCTGTGCCTCAGGGGGTCAGCAGATGGAAATGTTTGGGATTTGGAAGCTGGACCCACCCTGTCGCTGTTTTGGGGTCACTCTGGTCAGGAGGAGGAGAATGAGGGTACCAAACTGTCACCCCAAAGTGTCTCTGTGGTTTATGGGATTAGCAAAGGGGGAATTCCCAGGGAAATGTTTGGGATTTGGAAGCTGGACCCTCCCTGTCGCTGTTTTGGGGTCACCGGGAGGAGAATGGGGAGGGGGGTGGTGGCAATGGCATGGATGGTGAGGGTACAAAATGGCACCAAAAGTGTTCCCAAAATGGCACCAGAAGTGTTCCCAAAATGGCACCAAAAGTGTTCCCAAAATGGCACCAGAAGTGTTCCCAAAATGGCACCAAAAGGGTTCTCAAAATGGCACCAGAAGTGTTCCCAAAATGGCACCAGAAGGGTTCTCAAAATGGCACCAGAAGTGTTCCCAAAATGGCACCAGAAGCGTTCCCAAAATGGCACCAAAGCGTTCCCAGCTCTCCCAGTCTGGCTCCAGGGGTTCCCAGCCCTCAGAGCAGCTCCGTGGTTTCCTCCAGGGGCCCCGAGCTGCAGGTGGGGCCTCACCTGGGCAGGGCAGAGCAGAGGGACAGAATCCCCCCCCTGACCCCACAGGAAACCCCACAAAACATCCGGGGACAGCCCCAGTCCTGCAGGGAGTCCCCACACTCACCCTCAAACTGGTAGTGCATGGTCTGGTGGATGCGCTCTGTGACACTGCCCAGCCACTCCTGGAAGGACAGGGACACCTGGGACTCATCCAGCGCCTGGGGACAGCCTGAGGGGACAGGGAGGGGACACTGCAATGTCACTGTGTCCCCAGCCTCAGCCCAGGGCTCAGTGACACTGCCCAGCCAGGGAAGGGACACTGCAATGTCACTGTGTCCCCAAACACCATCCCCAGGGCTCTGTGACACTGCCCAGCCAGGGAGGGGACACTGCAATGTCACTGTGTCCCCAAACCTCACCCCAAGGAGGGCTCTGTGACACTGCCCAGCCAGGGAGGGGACACTGCAATGTCACTGTGTCCCCAAACACCATCCCCAGGGCCCTGTGACACTGCCCAGTCACTCCTGGACCCCAAAGCTCCTCTGGTCCCACCATGGTCCCTCAGCTCCCCCTGTCCCAGGGGGCTCCAGCCTGGCCTTGGGCACTGCCAGGGATGCAGGGGCAGCCCCAGCTGCTCTGGGGCACTGCCAGGGATGCAGGGGCAGCCCCAG